CAGGAGAGGTTACAGGAGGTGTGTGTCTGTGTATGTGGCGCTGGAGGTGCAGAAGGGGACTACTGCGTTGGGTGTGACAGATGGCTGGCGGTACGACTCCACTTCCTCCTTGCCGGATGTTAGCCATTATTTACTTATTTGCTACTTCATAGTGGCTGACTCCTCTCCTCTCTCCCCCTCCCATCTACACCTGAGGGAGGGAGGAGGTGGGAAGGCAGAAAAAGGTGCTGGGAAGGGGAATTAGGTAGTGCAAGAGGGAGGGTGGACAGCAGGTATTGGGGGAGCGGAGAGGGGAGGTGTAGGGGAGAGGGGGAACAGTCGAACATGAATGAAAGAATAGGAAAGAGAGAATATGAAAGGGTCTAAGGGAGGTGAGTGGGAAGATGAATGGGGAGGAGGGAAATGGAGAAGATAAGAGAAGGAGAAAAAAAGGTGGGACAGAAAACATGAAAGGAAGGAATGGGAATGTGAGGGAGGAAGGAGGGTGTAATAGGTAGCGGAGAGAAGGTGTGAGGGATTTGATGGAGATGGTGTGTGAGGGAGAGGAGGTGTTGGGGACGGTGTGTGAGGGAGAGGAGGTGTTGGGGATGGTGTGTGAGGGAGAGGAGGTGTTGGGGACGGTGTGTGAGGGAGAGGAGGTGTTGGGGACGGTGTGTGAGGGAGAGGAGGTGTTGGGGATGGTGTGTGAGGGAGAGTAAGTGTTGGGGACGGTGTGTGAGGGAGGTACAAGCGGGAAATAGGGAGTGGGAGACATGTGACGTAAGGTGAGCCTACTCGAGTCAGACCACAACACTGTTCAGGTGATACAAGCGATCAGCAGCGTAAGGTGTTTGGAGAGTGAAGGAGGAGGTAAAGGGAGAGCAAGGAAAGTGCAGAGAATAACAATAATAATAATGGTAACAATAATAATAATGAATGCCAGGGACAAATAGGGACAGGACATAACCCCAGAACGAGCGATATATATTCGGCCCCCACTTATTTATTAAGACAAAGTGGAAGGTGCTGTGTAAGAGGTAATAACGGTACCTCCCAAAAAAGGGGAGAGAGAGAGAGAGAGAGAGAGAGAGAGAGAGAGAGAGAGAGAGAGAGGAAAGCTTATCCTGTCTGTTCCTTCAAGGTTTAATCGTCGAAAGAAGGTTGAAATCCGTGTGTGTTTGTGTGTCCGCCCGCCCTGTATATGCGTGCGTGTAATTTCCTCTGGGAACTGTTTGTTTTCTTTCATTTAGTGGCATTGTATTTCTACTGCTGGACAGCGGTAATCATAAGAGTAATAAGAGTAGTGAAAGTAATTATGGGGAGTGATAAGAATTAATGTTGTGTACTACCGGACGAGACGCTGGTGAGTCAGCTCGTGTCTTAATGAGGAACAAGGCGTGTATAGTATATGCTGAATTCGCTTGACGTTCACCCAGGCCCCTGGACAATAACATACGGCAGTACCCAGCAACTGATCGTCCTAAACACACCAGAGGCTGTCCGGTCCAAGCCAAACCTGCAACACGTAAGAGTGAAAATATTGTGTATCATTGTGAACTTGAAGAATATTAATTGAGTAACTTCTGACGATATGCAACTTATGTTGTGTTTACTATTAAGATAATGTACTCACTTATGCTAATATTAGGTGAATGTATTCATATATGATATGTAACTGAACCTTCACTTTCCCTCTTGTAAATTGATTATTTGTATTTGACAGGTTTGACCGAAATAAACTGTATCGAATTGACTAAGCAAGTTAATCTCTTTACCGGGAGTTCATGGTATTCATTCTGCTTTTGTACAACATAAGTTACTGTCAACACACTTGCTGCAGTAGTATTGCCATATATGTGTTCCTGCCAATTAATCGATTCTCTGTAATACCTGATAAACTTGCATCATTGTCTCGCCCATTTGTCGGAAAGTTGGAGACTTTTCCCCTACCAAAAAATTGCGAGCTGTTGATGCGGCGCACGTGTCACACTCATGGCTACTAAGATAATAACATCTGCTAATGCATTACGTTGTATGTAGTTTCTGTACAAATAATAAAACATAAAGGACAATACAATTTTAAAAGCACAAAGTGTTAAATGATCACAAGGGCAAGAATAACCATTTCTTCGATCATTCTTGAAGCTCACAGAGATCCTTCTGCAGCTCTTCACAGTCTGCCTAGTTCTTAATTTCCCGAAATAACTTGGCGTCATCCGCAAACATCCGTAAGGAGGAATGTACAGCTTCAGGCATGTCATTTATGAAACAAATAAGCAGTAGCGGGCCCAATAAACTGCCCTGTGGTACCCAGCTTGTGACGGATACACATGATGCTTTCGTGCCATTTATCACCACACACTGCTTGCAGTCAAAGAAAAAGTCTCCGATCCACGCTAGGACATTTCCCGAATCCCATACCCTTCCAGTATAATTTTCAGCCTTTCATGGGGTACACTGTCGAAAGCCTTGGCAAAATCTAGGTATATAATGTCGATATTACCACCCTGTTCCAGAATTTGGGTACAAGTATCCAGTGATGGTGGGTACAGCGGTAACACTCATAACTCTCACCAATATGTCAAGGGTTCGAGCCTCGGCCCGGACACACGTGAGAAGGGTGTTATCCAGTGTGACCCGAACTACCAAACACCACAGGTAGGTCCCGGTTTCCTCCTGTACTTGCACTGGATAGACCGCCCAAACGGCATAAAACCGTTTTGGCAGTCCTTTACAAGGTTGTTTCGTAGTAGGTGTTCCATAATGGCATCTCTTATACTGCCCCCCCCCCCCCAAGGGTACTTTACATACTATACCGGTTAGGCTCACGGGTCTATAGTTATTCGTGGAGTGACGATCGCCCTTCTTGGAGATAGGACTCACATAAGCCATTTTCCAATCATTGGGGACTTTTTGCCCATCCAGGCATTTACAGAACAGGATCTTCAAGGGTTCAAAAAATTCGTTGCACAACTCTCTTACACTCTGGGATTCACCAAGTCTGGACAGTGTTAGTAACCAGGGGAAGTGTTATCACCACGTACAATTGTGCGTGCTGGCCACATGTTTAGTGAAGAGACTGTTTACAACTCAAATAGCTTACTAAGCGAGATGGAACTGGTAGCAGCTGTGTGACAGCGTGAGGGGCAGACTATCGCCTTCTACTGTAGAGGCAACATCTTGATTCTCGTCAGCCAACATCTTCCTGCAGGACATTATATTTGTTCTCGTTGGCCTAACCCAAGACCCGAAAAAGTGAATGTGATTGTGAACTATTAAATCCTCTGAGAACTCTAAATAACATTAATAAGTGTATTTATGTACTGTGTATTGATCATATTATTCAAACTGTGTGTCCTGATGTGTAACACAACAGGAACTAGAAGTTTGATTGATTGATGGTTTGAAACAGTTTATTTAGCCAGAAAAACACAGATGCAGAGATGATAATAATAACAATATTAGCATGGCTGAGCCAGTGAGAACCAGAGCTCTCTTGTAGGCACTTCATATATACTGTACATTTATCTCAAGGAAATATTTTGTAAAATTTAGTATCATCTGGAATAGTACACATAGCATGGTGGTCATAAGAACATTTCAGAATGGTACCATGGTTACCACTTAGATATTTATTTATTTTATTTATTTATTTATTTTTATTTTTTTTTATTCTTTTACATTTATATTATAAGTATATACATAAGTTACAGCGGGATTGAAAAACATAAATATAATGAGGGAAGCAGTACAACATGGGTTGTATTAAGGTTGAACACGAGGACAGAGCTGTCAAGATTATGTCTAGTTGGCAAATATATTTTTTGCAATGTAAATTTCTTATATATCTTCATGATAATTTCTGATACAGTACAACGATTTTGATGGTACAATAAAAGCAGGCATATAGAGTAGGTGTTACAAGAAATATTAATACTAAGACAATAGATATTTTTTATGAGATGATTTAAGGGAAGGGAGCGTAGTCTTTGCTAGGATGGGTGGAAGTAAGTTGTTCCACACCTTCACACCATGATATTTTATGGAGGTCTGGGACTGAGAGGAGTGCATGGGAGGTGGTCTTAGTAGCTCTTGGTGCCTTAAGTTGTATCTCTGATTATTCCGGAACTGGAAATGATTGTTGTCAAGCAAGTGATTGACAGATTTGTAAACAAAGAGGGCACAGCAGTAGGTGTTAATATCCTCGAATTTTAAAATTTTCAATTTAACAAATTGTTCGTTTGTGATGTTTTTTTTCAAGTAGGTCATTGTCCGTACGACTCTCTTTTGTGCAGTAACCAGGGATTGGGTTTTTGAAAAGCCAGAGGCCCCCCATAGTGTGTGACAGTGTATCAGGTGTTGGTAAAAAAATCATAATAGATTTCTTTCACTGCTGTAAGAGTGAGTGACTGTCGAGTGTGGTACATGATATCGCACTGTTTATTGACTTTAATGTGAATGGCTTGTATGTGGTTTCTTCAGTTAAGTTTCTCATCAACAATAACTCCAAGGAATTTAGTATTCTGTTCGCGTTTGAGGTCTGTATTACCAAGGTACAGGGGGTTCAAGTCTGGAGGTAAGTTTTTCCTTCCGTGAAAGATAGTGTAGTGGGTTTTTTCGAGGTTTAAGGTCAGTTTATTACGTATTACCCAGGTCCTGACTTTAGTCAATTAAGTGTTCATAGTTCTCATCAAGGAATGGAGGTCTGAGTTGCTGGCATAGAGATTACTATCGTCTGCAAATAAGTTGTATTTTATGAGTGTGCTGGATTGGACTGCAGTATATCATTATGTACAACAAAAACAGTACTGGGAGAAAACTTACTATGTGTTGTGCAGTCTCTTTTTACTTGGTAAACTATGGTGTATTTAATATGAAGAAACGTCTTTATGTATAAACAGTAAACCACGCACACACACTCGATGTTTACGGTTTAATGATATCAGTAACTGACGTTTACTCATACGTTTGGCAAAGCAACCACCAGGTGGGCCAGACAGACTAGCCTACCCCTATTGCGGTGTACCGTCTCACGTACGGTTAGTGTGGTGCGACAGTGTGACCAGAAGGAGTAAAGCAGTTGCGTGTAAGTAAAAATGGCTTAACAATTAGATCATTAAC